AGAGCCATATATAAACAACCAATATTTACCTATCCTCTAACCAAGTAATTGCTTATATATTCATATACTTATCCTGGAACCAAGTAATTAATTATAGAGTTTTATATATCACTATTCAAATATCCTCGAACCAAGTAATTACTTATAGAGTCATGTACAAACAACCAATATTTACCTATCCTCGAACCAAGTAATTGCTTGTAGAGTCATGTACAAACAACCAATATTTACCTATCCTCGAACCATGTAATTGCTTGTAGAGTCATATATAAACGACCAATATTTACCTATCCTCGAACCAAGTAATTGCTTATATATATTCATATACTTATCCTGGAACAAAGTAATTAAGTATAGAATTATATATAAACAATCACTATTCAAATATCCTAGAACCATGTAATTGCTTATAGAGTCATATATAAACAAACCAATATTTAGCTAACCTCTAACCAAGTAATTGCTTATAAAGTCATATATAAACAACCAATACTTACTTATCCTCGAAGCAAGTAATTACTAATAGAGTCATATATAAACGATCAATATTTACATATCCTCGAATCAAATGTTTATAGTAATATATAAATAACCAATGTTTATGTATTCTCGAATTAATTACTTATATATAAACAGATAATGGGCACTTCGACGCGTTTTAATGGTTAGCAAGCCTGTCTCACTAGACCAATAACGTCTGAATAGAGAGTTGGATCCTCACTGGGTGCCCCATACTTTCGGCTCTGTACCGCACATAAACTACTCTTAGAAAATCATTATATAAACAACCACTATTTATCTATCTTCGAGCCAAGTAAATGTTTATAGACTCAAATATACATTACCAATATTTGCCTCTCCCCGAACCAACAGCACTGTCATTACACTAGGCCAACCATATGGCCTGCGAAGTAAATGTTTACAGACTCAAAAATAAACTACCAATAAACTATCCTTAAAACAAGTAAGTGCTTATAGACTGCTATATTAACGACACATAATTACCTTACCTGAAACAAGTAAGGGCTTATACACGGAAGTATCAAAGACCAGTATTTACTTATCCCCAATTATTTAATACTTAGTGGCTCAAAGATAATCGACCACTATGTATCTATATCCAAACGAAGTAAATGCTTACATATTCAAATAAAAATACCAATATTTACGTATCCCCGAATCAATTAAATGCTTTAAATCAAATGTAAGCAACTAATACTTACCTATCCTCGAACCGAGTCAGTGCTTATAGAATGAAATATTAATGATTAATATTTGCCTATCCTCGAATCAAGTAAAGGTTTAGTGGCTCAAATATAATCGAACAGTATTTGCTTATCCCTGAATCAATTAAAATCTCAGTGGCTCAAATATAATTGACTGGTACTCACTTATTCCAGAACTAAGTATAAGCTTTGAGGCTCAAATATAATCGACCAGTATTTACTTATCCCCAAATCAAGTAAAAGCTTAGTGGCTCAAATATAATCTATTAGTGTTCACTTATTCCCGAATCAACTATAAACTTTGTGGCTCAAATCTAATCGACCAATTTACTTATTCCAGAATCAAGTAAATGCTAATAAAGAAACTTAATTTCGCCATTCAATAACCCCGACACTGGTTGTAATGTAAAATCAACTAACCCACATTCGCGTCTTTCTTACGTTGATTGATTGATTTGTTTATTCACAGCTTTTGCAGGCTATTTAAAGCTATAAAATATTTTTAGATTGTAAGAATTGTGGGGATATTAATAATTTCCTGATACACGTCCTACTAATTAATCCACAGAAAGGGGGAAGAGGTGGATTTTAAACTCTCCAAGAGTATTTGCGGCTATATGGATATACCGAATCCGATACCGCCTGCATATCCAAGCTTATAACACACGGTATTATAAGCAGTTACCCCTTTAGGTACTGACCAGGTTCGACGTTGCTTAAGTATACGTTTTTCCCAAATTAAATCTAGTTAACCAATTTATTGGACCATATGTAAAGATTCAGTTTATATCACGGTGGTAACTACATTGTCTTCACAAATTTAATGTCACAAAGTTAATGGGTTGGGTGTACATGTTGCAGGAATATCAGCTTCTCAGTATTAGGCAATTAGAAAATGGCTTATATCTCTTCGTCCAGTATTTTTCAGTTTGTTTCTTTGTTTGAAAAGAAGCTGCGAGATTGCACTGGTCTCGCCCTACTCAATTTGATGTTGGTAAGAATTAACACGCCATCTTGACTTTCTTCCACAGTTCAGCGAAGTGGCCAGATATGTTTTCATAACTAAAAAAAAAAAAATTTATATGATTCTTTAAACTCCTGTGACATCATTTATTAATAAAGATGAAAAGAAAACTTTTCCTTGATGTCATCTTTTAGCACATCGACTCCTGAACATTACTATCGGGTTCGTACAGCACTATTTTGTAATGACCTGTTTAAAACAAGACCGTCAAAAAGTGGATTTATCGATTAATCAATGAGGATTGAAGTCGTCATTAAACCCTCTTATAAGCAGCTTTCAAAGTAGGGCTTTTCGTGTTTAGTCTAAATTTATATTTTAATTTCTCTCTAAATCTCTAAGGAAAATAGCAGTTACACACACTTTAAAATATATCAGTAAACGGAAGGAATTCATATCTGTGAGAGATCATTGACACTTTTTTGTATTTCATGGTACTGGAAGAGAACCAGATGATTGATTCAAACAAATACTGCTTCTAATTAAATTAAATGAAGGTAACAATCGGCAAAAATCTAACGGAATTAGTTACCCTGTTTATCTGGTGATCAAACAAAAAAACATTTAAAACTTGGCTCGGACATTTTATTCACCCACTGTATCTGCCCAGATCCTGCACATTCGGGTTATCATTTATAAAATTAATTTTTAAAAATATTCTAAAAACAGCAAAAGAAAGCTAGAGGTATTTTTTTCCTTGAAAAGGATGAAAAAATTCTGGAAGGATAAAATTATGAGTGTTTGAAACCTGGCTAAAAATTAAAAGTTAAAGTTGGATTTTAAAAAAATCCTTCATTACTTAAGAAACCGGACGAATCTTAGACATATGATTGCGGATGCGCGGGTGGTGTAATGGTGAATATGAAATCGGAGAGACGTGTTCGAATTCCAGTCGAGTTCGTTACATTTACATATGCGCAAATAACATTGGGAAATGTACGAACACGCCTCTTCAATTAGTTTGGTTGGCAACCTTGAGAGAAGGGCAACCTTGAATTCAAAAAATCTTATGTAGCCCTCACGAAGAAGATACTATTGCTAAAATTAATTCTCTTTTATAGCAACGAATGATAGACAGTTACCTTACAGAGGACTTGAGGTAACATGTGATTCTACAGAAAGATAATGAGGATATAAAAAAGGGAACATGTGAGCAACGAGAAATTTAAGAAAAACTATGGGTAGTAAAGAAAATTGTAAGAAGGCAGAATGGATGGTCGTAAGAAGCCAGACTGATTGGTCGTCATCAAAATGCGAACTCTGAGTTCTGTCAAAATCAAGCAATTTAAATATTGTAACGGGCGGAAAATGCAACAGAGAAATCTGAAGTTGTATTGGAATTGCGAAAAATGCCTTCCAAAAGCGAGGTAAATTTTTAAGAAACAAGAAAATTTAGAAACAGATAAAGGACTATGAATCGCTATGCAATATTAATCCTCCTATCGTCTAAACTGCCGATGGTGATACACCCACAGGTGAATGGTCCGAAATCAGTGAGTTCCACGACGCTGTGCTGTGACTTAGCCTTGTGTTTGTTCGGATCCTTTTACACAGAAACAAAACTAGAGAAACATAACGACAATATAGTAAAGGAAGACAGGAAGGAAGGAAGGAAGGAAGGAAGGAAGGAAGGACTAATCATCAGAATGGATGGCCGTCAGCAAGAGGAACAGCCAAAAATGCGAGCTATGAGTTGGAGATGCCAAAATAAAGCAAGTGCAGAAATTTAAATATCTGGAAAGTGTTTTAACAGAGGACGGAAAGACCGCATTGGGAATAGCGATAGTTGCCATCCAAAAGATAAACAAAGTATTAAAGAAACAGGAAATTTTCATTAGAAACAAAACAAAGATCACTGAAAAGAGCAGTGAAAGCTGAACATTTTCCTTACAAATGAAAGGGATATGTTGTAACCTAGAAAGGGTTACTGAATGAGGAATAACCAAAATGGAGGCTGGAAATGAAATGATAATCTTTATAACATCAACAAAATACAATACTCGCCAGCGGCTAAAGTAGGTAAACCACTGCTAGTGGTGTACTACTTAGACAGCATATTACACCCACTTACAATAATGTCCAACGTATTTATGAGGATTGGGACATATCCATTAGTGTTCATATGTACGGTATCAAACAGGAAACAAGGCAACACAGCTGTGGTTCTATAGAATGATGCTGAGAATACCATGAACGGAGCATGTGAATAACATGGATGTTTTAAGGAAACAATAAAAGACACTTATACTCAGAATCAGAGGGAGACAAATTTAAATTTCTGAAACACACATCGAGCAAGGAGGGCTTAGAGAATTTGACACTCAAAGGACACAATGAAGACAGAAGAAATATAAAGTAACCTACCTAACGAGTTTTTGTAAATGGATGGCCGCACAGGGAATATGAAGGCTAATAAAATAAATATTGCTTAAAGCTACGGAAGATATGAACCTGTCATGATTATCCAAGGCCTGAAGGAAACAGGGTCAGAAAATGGTTTTCTACGACTTATCAACTCTTTGAAGGTTATTTAAAGCCAAAAAATATTTTAGATTTTAAGAATTTTTTTTCTTGGAGATAACAATAGTTTACTGATACATGTCTTACTAATTAATCCATAGCTAGGGGGATTCATACCTTTCCCAAGGCGTATTTGCACGTAAGTCAATATAACGAATCTAATGGGAATTGGAACTCGGCTCGACGATTAACAATTCCGAGCCATTATCCATTACACCACCCACACGCCCAAGCTTACAGCACCTGGCATTTCCAAGCGGTCACTCATCTAAGTACTGACTAGGCTCAACGTTGCTTAACTTTGGTGAGCGTAAGGCGGAACAAAAATGAAGAAGAAGAATTATAAACTAAAATTAACAATTTAATAATTAATTATTCATATAAATATACTTTATCGATATCACTTTATACTCATTTTGTTGTGTGTTATTTATTGACTTCGGGTAAAAGTTTTGTTTATTATTAAATTATCTTTTGGTTAAGATCACAACAGAAAACCAACAACAAATAAAACCTGAATGGTCTTGTTACTGAATACTGCCCAACAGAGGGTAACAAAATACGTCGGTCGACACTCCTTAAAAAAACACACGGATTAATCTGGAAAGATTATTAGACAGTTTACATATTTTGGTGAACCACAAAACTAACTGTTTTTTTTTTTTTTTGCGTGCTAAAGTGTACAGTGTTGTAGCAACATTTCTTTTTACAATTAGTAAGGAATTATTTTTTTAAAAAAGAAATTGTGTCGACGGGAAATCATATTTCTCGCATGAGGAGGTGAGAATAGTCAATAACATTTTCCCATGAAAGTCTTCAAGATACTTATTCTCCAATGGGACAAGCCATCAACAGCTTTCACTTTCTTTGATGTTTTACGTCTGTAGAATCATAGTATTATCAGTTAAAATCTTGAATACTTTTAACAATGGCAACAACTAAAATGAATAGAATATGTAATTCGAAGAGAAAATAATGGAACAATGAAAATGTTAACTTTATACATTACTTTAAACACACTTTTAGGAAGGACCCCGCCCCATCAATACGAGAAAGTACAATAGATGTTAGCTGAGTTTTTTTTTTAATTTTCCTCCAAACAAGATAATAAAGCCACAAAAAGGCAAAGGTTTATTGAGGGTTAATTAACACTAGGATGGTCAGCTCCTTTGACATCTTTATTTACATAACGCCGTGAAGCAGCCATCTCTAATATATTCAATATTCAAGTCAGGAATAACAAGTCTAAAAAGAAATTCACAAATATTAGTATACCTCATACTGAAAGAAAGTGGTTATATATATATATATATATATATATATATATATATATATATATAAACCTCATACTGAAAGAAAGTGGTTATATATATATATATATAAATTATGTGTGTGTGTATAGATAGATAAATAAATAAATAGATAGGGGTCATAAACACAAGTATTATTGCTTGTGAGAAATTTTTCAATGCATTTACCCTATAAATAGCCTAGGTGTCAAAAACGACACCTCAGCCATTCAAGGTAAAACCTCAAATATCAGCTATTCCACTGAATATTTTTTAAAGAATTAAGTCTGTTAAGCATCTTTGCTAAAATTCAATAATTGTCCATAAGCCTCAGCATCGAACCAAAATTAGTTATTCCATAGAAATTTGTTGAAAATTTGAAGGTGTCGAAAATGACACCTCGGCCATGTTAAAGCGAGAAAACATTTAGGAGAAAGAGATCATTAAAAGATCAGGTTTCAAGGAGACAGAAGATGACGATTGACGTTGGCTTTAAATTTTTGAACATCGTCGTTGACAGAAAAGCAAGAAGCCCGAAGAGAGTTTTACAAGTGAGAAGCAATTTTGAAAGTAAAATGATGAAACCTAACTTCCAATCTAGTACCGCGCTTAATATCTCTGATATCAGTGAATTTATTCCACCATTAGTCTTATAAGGTTCAGTTCGGGTGATGATTGAAGTCGACCTCTTAAGATAATGGCAAAAAATGCATCGCGAAAACTAGTTATTGGAAGTTTTTTTGTTTTTTTTTTAGGTAATGACATTTTTCTCTTGCCAAGCTCTTGTATTTCATTCAGTGTCGAATATAACAATACAAGTTGTTTGCCATTTTCTATTATAAATAATAAGAGTTATCAAGTTTGAAATCCCAGGATTAGGTAATCTTTCTGTAAGCATCACCCTATAAAAAGGGAGGTCAGTGCATTTTTAATTTTTGTTTTAACTCGTTTTCTTTTTAAGAAAAAGAAACACTTCTGCATTTCGTGATTTCATTTTAGCTTCTCTTTGTTATCGACCATTGGAGCAATCATGAAAAACCTATCAATGTCACTAGCAATTATAAATTGGTCACCATTCTGAAATCCAGGATATGTATTCAATTTTTTTTATATGTTTTTAGGCTAGATTGCATAAAAATAAGAATGACACTTATAATATACCCACTCCCTAAACAAAAAAAATAAAAATCCCAAAGTATTAATTTCAGGATGTACCTTAAATATACGTTTTCTCTGAGTATATATATCTGAATGTGTTTGTATATTTAAATGTACGTGAATATGTGATTATATATGAATATTTTTGGCTATATAAATGTATGTGTATAGGCGTGAATATGTGTTTATATGTAAATATATGTGTATTTGTTTACAGTAATTTTCGTCCTGTACAAAGCCCAAGAGCCACTCTAGATAGAGGGTTACAAAGTAAGAGGTACAATTTATGGGGATATGCAGGGAAGATAGCAGTCTTATTAAAAGAAAATGCACTATCCGGCTGGATTCGAACCCGCGTCACTCTTCGCGGGAGAAATCGTCGTTAGATTTGATGTACATTAACTGACTCGGTCATGAAGATCGTCTTCGATTGGGCAAGGTTCTACGTTTCGAATATGAAACTGCGTAGTTATGAATTTTCGCGAATCTGAACGAAAGGGATGTGATTAAAAGTTAGCATAGAAGTTCTCCTTAAAGTAAAACAAATGTTTGGACTAATGTCCTCATCTTTCCTATTTGCAATGTTTGGGCCAATGTATTCTTCCGTGAACACGAGTCCGAAATTCTCGTAAAAGAAAGACAAAGGTTTGGGCTATTATCCACATTTTTCCTGTTTTGACCCAGCTATACAGGATACAAAGCAGGAAACATTACACATAATAATAATAATAATAATAATAATAATAATAATAATTTTTTTTTTATCTCCGATGAAGTTGCTAGCGTTACATAGACAAAGTTCTCCTTAGTGTGTGTGCTGTACTTAATAAGACAATTTTCTATAATAACAATAATAACAATAATAATAATAATAATATGAACACCACCCAGATCCGTTTACGGAGATAGGACCTGTTACAATTCTATGGAACTACACAATACACACTGACAGAACAATCAAAGCCAACCGCCCAGATATTGTTATTAAAGACCACAAACAAAAAAAGTGCCTCCTTATTGATATGGCAGTCCCTGCAGACTGCAATATATCTTTGAAGATATTCAGAAAGCTGTCAAAATACAAGGACCTTGAAATAGAAATCTCGAAAATGTGGCACATGGGAACATCAACAATCCCTGTTGTAGTTGGAGCCCTAGGATTGGTTGGAAAAGATTTCAGTAGACTTATTGAAGGGATTCCTGGAAGTCCATGACTGAAAGAGATACAAAAAATCGTTCTGACAAGTACAGCCCACACTTTACGATGGGCTTTATCTATGTAATTTTTTTCTTTTTTTTTTTTTTTTTTGTCAGTGTAAAGTGTCATGATGCCATTTCTAACTATAGGTCCCTGGACGGGACCCGGAAAGAAATGTGTAAACGCCAGAAATCAAAGAAAATAAAAATGATAATAATAATAATTATACACAATAGAACAGTCAAAGCTAATCCTCTAGACATCGTGATTGGAGACCGCAGATCATCAAAATACAAGGACCTTGAAATCGAAATCTCAGAAATGTGGCACAGTTCCAGTTGTAGTTGGAGCCCTCGGATTCAATCAATCCGAGGGCTCCAACTACAACTGAACTGTGCCACATTTCTGAGATTTCGAAAAGATTCAATGGACTCATTGAAGGAATTTGGTAGCCAATGCCTTAAAGAAATACAAAAAATTGTACTCATAAGTACAGCCCACACCTTACGAAGGGCTTAATCTATGTAAAATATGTATGATTTTTTTTTTTTTTTTTCGAAACTGCTCAGTGAAAAATGTCATTTCTGACCTTAGGTCTCTGGTCGGGACCCGGAAAGAAATGAGTATACACAAGAAACCAAAGGAAATATAGTAGTAGTAGTAGTAATAATCTAGGGTTTTCATTCACGCTTACCCCGATAATAATGAATCAAATTTTGTATCTTTTTTGTGTTACAAAAATATTTAGTTGCATTTTTTTTTGTTTTATTAGAAATCATTTTTTTATTATTTTTCCAGAAAACTCTTTTGTACCAAATACAAGTGTCGGCTGGAATAGTTATGTCGGTGGGAAGTTTTTAACTAATAAAATAAAACAGCAAATTCAAGTAAACATTCCGTTGGTAATTTTATATAAGTGTGATCAACTTGAAACAATATAATTACTACGGGGAAAGTAATTTGAAAAATAATAAGTGTGCCATGCGAAATAAGCACCGCGCCGAGAGAGGGCCGGGTGAGGAATTAAAGGAAATATTAATTTAATTGTGCCGGGATTTGTAATTCTTACACAAGAGTATCACTGTTTTAAGCAAAACTTATCAATATTAATTTTATAATCATTGCTTCGATGACAGCAAGATGATCAAATCTAAATTTTAAACAGTTTGTTCGTTTAAAAGACTTCATTTATTGGAAGATACAGGGACCTAGCTGCAAAAGTAGGTATACAGTAAGCCATATACTAGTATTATAATAGTGATTCTTTAATACTAGAATTGTATTATAATAGTGGATCTTTAATACTAGAATTATATTATAATAGTGGTCATTTAATACTAGCATTATATTTTAATAGTGATTCTTTAATACTAGAATTATAACAGTGGATCTTTAATACTAGAATTACATTATAATGGTGGTCATTTAATACTAGAATTATATTATAATAGTTGATCTTTAATACTAGAATTATATTATAATAGTGATTCTTTAATACTAGAATTATAATAGTGATTCTTTAATACTAGAATTGTATTAGTGTATCTTTGATACTAGAATTGTATTATAATAGTGGATCTTTAATACGAGAATTATATTATAATATTGTTCATTTAATACTAGATTTATTTAATTCATTAAAATCATTTTTAATATTTTTATTTTCATAAT